TTGTTCTTTTAAGAGGGTCTCATGCAACTCAGGCTGGCCTCAAACTCAGTATGTAGCTAAGGCTAGACTTTAACTCTCAGTTTTCTTTGCCTCTAATTTCTAAGTGCTGAGATTGTGGGCCTAAAGCACTATGTCCAGTTTTAATATTTCAATATTTCTTTTTAATGCTCTGATTTTGTAGCATGTTAATATTTAGCAAAGCAAGTCAGCTGACTTATTACTTTAATTCCAAAATGAACTCAAGTAATATATATATTTCTATAGAAATTCTGATAGTTGCTAGTGTCTTCCTTCAAAAGTTCCCATTACAATTATCATTAGGATGGTGTTGAGTCTATTTGTAGACTGAACTGGGCAGGTGGATGCCCAGCCACTGTTAGCATCTGTCAACACAGTGTAGTTCTGCTTGTACTGAGCTTCATTTTATTTATTTGATATTCATTTACATTTTAGAGGACAGTCTGAGAGATTGACTTCAATATGCCTCCTAAAAATGACTCCTAACTTTAAAGTCTACCACCCCTGTCACTAGAGAGTGTAAACAAAATACCAGAAGTGGGACTTCAGCATTCATTATCACTCACTCAGAGCTATTCTGTGGAATGAGTTGTGCCAAGATGGACTGTTCAGTTAGAATAAGGACCCCAAGGAAAGCCTCAGAGTTTGACTTCTGGCTCCTCTATACTGAAAATCCCATTTTCCTTAAGCGTAAAAACAGTATTATAATAGTGTCTGACTCCTGAAGCTGTTGTGAAGATTGATGCCAAGGGCACAAGAGGCATAAACCATGTGGCCTAATAGGAGGCTCATTGCAAACTCATTAATTTCTCCCTCTGTAAATGAATGAATCTGTCTACCGATGAGTGCACAGGATCTAGAGCCTTAATCATGATGAGCCTTCATCACTCCTCAGAGAACAAAAGAAGACAAAGCCCTGTGAATGGAGAATGCACCTATGACTACATTGAATGCATTATATTGATACTTGTTCTTAAAGAGACACCCAATTTATGCTGGTCATCCTTGACTTCTAAGTCCAGCCAGAAAAATTTCCAAGGCTTAAAACTAGTTGTCTTGAATTTTTGGGATGCTTCATGAATCCATAGGCTCAGATATTTGAATATTTTGATCTCCAGTTGATAAAACTGTTTGAGAAGGATTAGGATGGGGTGTATTGCTCAAAGTAGGCAGAGTTTAAATGCTGGAAGTAGGCCCAGTCTGCCTCTCCCTCTCCCTCTCCCTCTCCCTCTCCCTCTCCCTCTCCCTCTCCCTCTCCCTCTCCCTCTCCTCCTTCTCCCTCTCTATTGCTGCTGCTGCTGCTCCTGCTGGTCACTGTGCTTGAGAATATAAACCTCTCAGCTACTGCTCCTGTGCCATGACTGTCTGCTCCCTTCCATGTTGATAATGGACTGACACTCCGAAACTTTAAGCAAACCCTTAATTAGATTCTTTCTTTTATAAGAATTGCTTTGGTTACGATGTCGCTTCATAGCAATCGACCAGTAACTAACAAATCTACAGTTCTTCAAGATATGCAGATTAGTTAAATCTACTTATTATGCTCCCTAAAGCAGAATTTTTATATCTCTGTGATACATTATGTGGATAACTAGTTTTCAGGAAAGTAAATGGCTTGGCCAAGGTTAAGGAGCAGGATCAAAATCGGTTCCTGGATTCAGCTTTCCTGAGTCTATCATCATTCTTCTTACACACCAACCCCGAAAACCAAGAGTGAACACTCAGCAAAGTCCCCAAGGATCATATACCTAAGGAGATCCATTCAGGAAGGACATTGGACAGTGAATTGAATGGCATTGTAAAGCCGTCAATAACTCTGTACTCCATAGATCTCTGATTCAATTAATCTGATGAGGAGAGACTCTGATTTACTTTCTCACACATTTGAAAGGAAACAATTCTATTTATTTTTTCCCATTAATTAATTTATTTATCCACTTTATATCCCAATCACAGTCCCCTCTCCTTCTTGTCTACAACCTCATTCAGCCTCTCCCTACACCCATCTTCTCCTTCTCTCCTGAGAAAAATGGAGGGCTCCCTTTGGTACCAACCCACCACACACTCAATGTCACTGTAGGACTAGACACATTCTCTCCTATTGAGGCCAGAGAAGGCAGTCCAGAACAGGATCCACAGGTAGGCAACAGATTCAGCCTACCTACTGTAGTTGTTGGGGGCCCACATGAAGACCAAGCTATACATCTGCTGATATGCACAGGGGGCCTAGATACAACCCGTGTATTCTCTTTAGTTGGTTGTTCAGTCTCTGGGAACCCCCACGATTCCAAGTTACTTGGCTCTGTTGGTCTTCTAATGGAGTCCTAATCCCCTCCAGGTTCCTCAATCCTTCCTTCAACTCTTCCACAAAACTTCTGAGCTCCATCAAAAGTTTGGCTGTGGGTCTCTGTATATGTTTTGGTCATCTGCTGGGTGGATCCTCTAAGAGGACAGTTATGATAGGCTTCTGTCTGCAAGCATAACAAAGTATCATTAAATGTGTCAGGAATTGGCTCTTGCCCATGTGATGAGTCCCAAGTTTGGCCAGTTATTGGTTGGCCATTCCCTCAGTCTCTGCTCCTACAGAGAAATAATAAACAAAACTTGATGGTATTGATATAGAAAAAAAATGGCCAGACAGTGGGATCAATTAAAAGACCCAGAAATAAACCCAGACACCTACAGACACCTGATTTTTTTGACAAAATAGTCAAAAGCATACAATGGGAAAAAGAACAAATCATTAAATGATGCTAATCTAACTGAATGTCTGCATATGGAAGAATTCAAAGAGATACATATTTATCACCCCACACAAAACTCAAGTCCAGATGGATCAAAGACCTCACCATAAAACCAAAAGCATTAAGTATACTAGAGGAGAAAGTGGGGAATAGCCTTGAACTCACTGGTACAGAAGACGACTTCCTGAGCAGAACACCAATAGCTCAGGCACTAATATCAACAATAAGTGGAACTTCATGAAACTGAAAAGCTTCTATAAGGTAAAGGACACTGTCAATAGGACAAAACAGCAGCCTACAGACTGAGAAAAGATCTTCACCAACCCTATATCCAACAAAGGACTAATATCCAAAATATATAATAAAATCAGGAAGTTAGACATCAACAAACCAAATAACCCTATAAAAAATGGGGTACAGAGATAAACAGAGAATTCTCAACAGAAGAATCTCTAATAGCCAATAAGTATTTAAAGAAATGTTCAACATCCTTAGTCATCAGAAAAATGCAAACCAATATAGCTCTAAGATTCCACCTTAGAACAACTAAGATCAAAAACTCAAGAGATAGCACATACTGGCTAGGATGTGGGAACAAGAGGAACACTCCTCCGTTGCTGGTTGGATTGCAAACTTGTATAACTACTCTGGAAATCAATTTGATGATTTCTCAGAAAATTGGGAATAGGAACAAGACCCAGCTATACCACTACTGGGAATATACTCAAAAGATACTCCATCATACCACAAAGACACTTGCTCCACTATGTTCATAGCAGCTTTATTCATAGTAGCCAGAAACTGGAAACAATCCAGATGTCCCTCAATTAAAGAATGGATAAAGTGTGGTTCATTTACACAATGGAATACTATTCAGCTGTTAAAAGTAAGAACATAGTGAAATCTGTAGACAAATGGATAGGACTAGAAAACATCCTGAGTGAGGTAACCCAGACCCAAAATGACATGCATGGTATACACTCATTTATAATTGGATATTAACCTTAAGGTACAGGATACTCATGCTACAATCTAACACACCCAAGGGAGGTAAGTAACAAAAAATAGCCCAAGGAAGAATGCTTGAATCTCACTTAGAAGGAGAAGTAAAATAGTCATTGGTGGATAGAGGGAGGGAAATGACTGGGAAAGGGGATGGGGAGGGGAATGGTGTGTAGGAAGATCAAGTGTAGGGAGAGTCAGGAGAGTGAAGAGAAATTGGTCTGGGGGAGGAGGTTCTAGGATGTGTCAGAGACCTGGAGTTGGGGACGTTTCAGGCAGTCTGTGAAGGTGACTGTAGCTGAGACTCCTAACAGTCGGGGATACTGAGCCTGAAGTAGCTACCTCCTGTGTCATACAGGATTCCAAGTAGAGGGATAAGGACACCAATTTACCTACATAACCTTCCACAGATCCCCTTTTGTGATATCTTGCAAATCTTAAAACCTTACTAAGCCTGGCAACCAAGGGAATCATTTTCTGACCTCCATAACTCTGAGCAGATGTTCCTGAGATCAGCTGAAGCTTGCCATCAGAGGGACAGGCACTTGCCCAAAGGACAGTCCTTGGACCAATTGTGCAATTAGTGTAAATGTTCATCAAAACATTTCAGAACAGCTTGGGAAACTCAGAGAGAATGTGCCAGGGTGAAGCCTCATTTATGTCCAGTGCTATAGCAGGTACTCTCAGCTACCCCCACACCTGGGGCACCTGCTGGCTCTGAGCTGTATGCTCTAAAGTTCTGATGCACCTGCATTTAACCCAAGTAAGCTCTTATATGTCTAGCCACAAGTGTGGCAAGCACCAGCACTGGGTTAGAACTGAGGTTTTGGTTTCCCAATAGATATGCAGTGCTTTCTGATAGCATGAACATGCATAAGCTAACCCAGGAAAGACTGTTTTTAAGGCCTGACTAGAAGATAGAGAAAGAGGAAGTTTCCACTCTTCTTGACAGCTAGTTCCTCCCCTGACCCAACCCAACTCAGTAGCTAAAATTTTAATCACATTTTCTCCTTTAGATTAAACTTGATGCACCCCATATAAATATACGACGACACTTTAAAACTGACTGTACCATGGATAAATAATGATATTGTGGACTGACTGCAAGGCAGACTCTAAGGGGAATAATGTGGTTTACTGCATGTACCCAGGAAGTGGGTTGTTTTTAAAGTCTCTGCTCACCCTTTGCCCCCGCCTTTTTTTTTCTTAAGTACTGAAATTAAACAGCAACTAGCACAGGCCTCCCTTTAGGACACGTGACCTTACTCCTTTCCGTTTTGTTGAAAGAGTCGCTAAAAGGAGTTGATGGCAGTTTTACTAGCAAGTCACCATGGAGGAAAGGTATGTAACCTTATCTTTGTACTGTGTGTTAACTACTTGAAAGTATTGCTGGTATGAATGTATAATCATTTCTACAGAATGCACTGCTCTTACCTGTGAGCCAAACATCAGCTTGTTTCCTTCAGTGAAGAAAAGTGTGTTTTTTTTATAACTGTAACTGACAAATTCATAGTTCCTTTATGGAAACATTATGCTAGCATCTTTACGATTTTAGACTTACATGTTAAAGGCTAAGTATAGAAAAGTTTTCATGAGGTCAAGGATCTCATCTTCCACCTGTGCCCAGCAGGGCCCTCCACTCTTATATATTCAGCTAAGGCCCTGGATCCCTCCATAAGTGCTCCCAGGCTGGTGGTTTAGACCCTGGGAGCTGTGGTTGGTTGGTATTGTTGCTCTCCTCATGGGGCCACAAATCCTTTCAGCTCCTTCAGTCTCAGGGGGTGGGAGTTTTGAGGGTGGGGAGGTGGGAGTGGGGGGGTAGATAGAGGTTACATCCACAAAGAAGAAGGAGGAGGTGTGAGGGGATTGGGGGTTCCTGGGTGGGTGGGGGATGGGGTAAGGGGACAACATATGAAATGTAAATAAAACATCCAATAAAAAAAAAAAAAAAAAAAGAAAAGTTTTAGATTGAAAGTCCTTTTAAAAGTAACTGTTAGTAAAATACATGAGACCATGCACCCTTAACTGATAGCTACTTTAAAACTCGCATTATCTACAATTCAGATAACGAGAGAAAAGGGGCAATATAAATAACAATAGGAAAGGGATTCTTAAATTTTGGTGTGAAAAATAATCATTTTTGGGCATTATGTAAAAAGCTATAAGAAGGCTCTCAAACATAGCCTGGCAAAATAGCCACTAAGGAGCAAGAAAGTTTTATCACCTAAAAAGATAAGTTCCGTCACAACTGAGTATTTCCCCTAACATTTATGTGTTGAGTTGGATAACATCAGGCCAATTTTCTAATTCATAAATAGACACTTATGTTGAAAACAAAAGTTTCACCTGATTTCACTGGAGGCTGTTTCTGGGAAGAGGCCTCACTTGATGGCATCCTTTTGTCGTTTAAGGTAACTGTATTTTGAAGTATTTTGAAATAATAAGTCTTTGAAATGAAAAGTATTTGCTCATTGGAAACCAGCAAGAGCTTTTCTTAGCTACTGACATTGTGGCAATGTCTCTGTACGTTCTAATGTGGGTACAGATATCATCGACATGTTGCTAATCTGAGACAAATACCTAAACAAATCTAACTGGAGAGTTTTGAAAAAATAATAAAAGTATAGATATGATCCCCTTGTCCCTAATATTATTTTATCGTGCTGGTGGATAAGGAAGTGATACCCCACAATGCACATATAGGGGGTTATTAAAAATGGTTACCTTCTTGATAAATGGCAACAATCTTTTTTCTTTTATTGTGCTCTACTGAAAAACACTTATAATTTTTTTTGACATGGTCAGTTTTAAAGGAAATTACTCAGCAGGCTGACACACTCATGTCACAATGCATTTTAAGCTCTCTTCAATTGTCCACACCGAAGCTAGCTACTTGTTGACTGTTAAAATGATTACAGAAAAATAAAGATTAGAGATGTGGTATCCAATACTTTTTATTGTTAGCATGTCAGAAGATCTTGGTAATATATATTTGCTTTGATATTCTGATTAGAATTTCAATTTGTTGTATTTCCTCTCCATGGAAAGCAGTATTTAAATCTGTCTTCAATATTGCGCTGCTAAGACTTCACATCCTGAGCTGTATTCTTCAGATAATTTTTGTTGATACATTATTGCTGAATTCATTGTGTTATGAAAAGAACAGCACATGAATAGAGGTGATAGAAACCACACAGTAGCAAAAAGTGAATGTTCAGGCAAACATCTGAAGTAAGAAAAAGACTATTAAGGTTTAAAATATTGAATATAATTGAAAACCAAATTATTTGTAATAAGTGTTTTTGCAGATACTGTTAATATCAGATGTTGAAATGAAATGAAGGACAAATTCAGACAGTTTGAGAGGGATGTAGACAAAGCAGCAAGTGAAGATACACAAACTGATGACTTCAGATCTGTTTTTCAAAACAATGATGCATAGATTCTGGACTGTTTGGACCAAATCTTAAGGGACTTGATTACAAATGAGTAATTCCAGATCATTCTGTCTGTGTATACGTTGAATAGCTAGGTAAGCTTTAGTGAAATGAAACAAGACAGAGAATTTTATTTTTAAACTCACTGCAGAGCAAAGCTGGTAAAGAACACCATGCTTATTATTTGGGGTCAGTCAGATTCAGAAAGAAAAAAGTTTTTCCTGTGTATCCTCCCTTTGCTAATTCTAGTCCTTCTGTCATTGTGTGTTCCATACAGTGTCTCATCTAGAATCCCAGAGTTTACTTATCCCATGATACAGAACATAGGGACTCTAAGGCAAGCATCCTTGTCCTTTAAAGAAAGGATACATAGTTTTGATGTCCTTGCCAGGCCTTCTCTGCCAAGCATAGCTCTAATATGATCTCCCAGATAACAGGCTCCAAATGACCATTTTAATGTTGATAACTTCTAGTCTTGTTTTTTAAAAAAATGGCATGTGATAACCAGTTGGAAATAGTCCAGGACAGAGTGTCTTGCTACCCCTAGTCCAACCTATGATATTTAAAGACAGAATTTCTGAAAGTGTCTAACAAGGATCTCTCTCAGAGATATACTCATCTCTATAAACGGTTCCTGCACAAGGAATACTTTACACAGCTAATGAAAATCGTCTGCAATATAGCTTCAGAAAATGTTGGTGTTTTCATACACAACATGCTTGGCATGATGTAGGTGTAGGTTTTTGTGAGTGAACGAGTGTGATGTATGTGTACATGCAAGTGTACTTGTGAAGGTGCACATACGTGTATGTGTCTGCCTGCTCACTCATGTTTGTGTTTGTGTATAGGCCAGAAGTCACATGTCCTCCTTAATTCTTCTCAGTCACACGACTCCGTGACCGTGAAGCTCACCTACTAAGCTATACTGGATGTCTAGAGAACTCCAGACATCCTCCCATCTCTGCCTTCCAGTACTTAGATTACAAACCCAGGACACAGTTTCTGAGTTTTTATGTGGAAGCTGGAGATCTAAATCCTGATCTTCATGCTTGGGTAGTAAGGACTTTACCTACCAAACCATTTGCCCTGATTAAAGATGTGTTTTGTTTTGTTATTTTAAGTTTTTAAGGCTCTGAAATGAACTGTTTGGATATCAAAATTTTATATTCTGAAATACATATTATATGACAAAAGTAGGAAATGAATTTATAATTTTTATGAATCTTACCTGATAGCAGACACAATTCTTTTTGTTGCTGATGATGCGAAGCTAGCCCATGTATCGTGAGAGTGCTTGACTCGCAACAGTTCCAGAGAACACAAGGTCAGGAATAGCAGGATCCAGGATCTCCCCTGCAACTCTCAGGATTAGGTCTTCATACCTTCTATAAATAGTCTGCAGAAATTATCATTGACTCAACAGCAGAGCTTCAGGCTATTGTTTTATCCTTTCTGCAAACTTGATGGCAAAAGAATACTTTCCCATCGCTACAGTTAAACCTAAAGTTTGTATATGACTTCATTCACTAGTATCAGATACAAGAGCCCTGGAATTTAAACTCAGGTCCTATCTCACCCAATGAGTCTACACCTGTAGCACATGGTCTTCCTCAGACAGAAATATTCTGCTGAATTAGGAAATGAAGCACTTTCCCAGAAGGGTTATTATGCTTCTCAAAAACCACAGGATATCATTTCAGCATCACAAATGGTTGCATTTGAAAGTATTGCTCCCAACTTCTCCAAAGGTATACTTAGACAGAAATACATTAAAGAAAGGTCTGAGTAAAATAAGAGCTTGCAGGAAACTGAATTGAAAATATTTTCAACAGCCATTTATGCAAACACACTTTGAACATTGTGAGGTTTATTATAATCTAGAACAAAAGCTATCATATTTTGAAAGATTTATTTGCTTCTATTTTACGTGTATAAGAGTTTTGCCTGTGTGTATGTCTGCACATCATGTGACAGCCATGATGCAGAGGACAAAAACGGGTGCCAGATCCCCGGAAACTGGAGTTACAGACAGTTGTGAATCCTAGGAACAGAACCCCAGTCCTCTGCAAGAAAAGCCAGTGCTCAAAAAGTTTTCTTATTACAATGCAAATTAAGCATATTAGTTACTACAAAACGGTACAGAGCATGTTCAATCTGGACTCATAAACCCATTCAAAACTTTGCTGCTATTGCTGTTTGCCAGGCCACAAACTAGAAAGAATTCGTGACAAGTATTTACTAGTATTTACACCATCTGACTTTTCCTGTCAGATAATTCAGGGAAATTGTGAGGGAGGTTTATGGTGGGTTTCTAAAGAGAAGGAAATGGATGTATCATACTTTGCAAACACAGACAAGGGCAGACAATCTCAAAGCAGGAATGAAGGGTCCAGGGCTGCTGAAAAGTGATGTAATGCAAGTGGAGGGCAGAGGGATGGCTGGACCATCAGGAAATGCACCTGGCATCCACCTGCTAAGCACAGCAACTCAGAGATGACAGCAGCTGTGAGTGGCAGTGTCCCTGCTGAAGACTCCACTGTGGCAGATAGTGGGTTTCCTTGTGCGAGCATTAGTCTGCTTCTTCAATTTTTCTCGCTGTTGAGTGCTGTACTCCTTGGAATTTGCAGACAGGCTGAACTTAATGACAACTTAGGACATTCGTCATGTCCTTGTAACTTTTGTGTTCCTATCCACACTTCATGAGACCAACAGGAGAAGCTGCAGAGAGAATGCCTCTGGCTGCCTCAGCTTCTGCAGTCAGAGGGGGACCTCAGCAGACAGACTGCATGCTCCTGCTTCTCAGATTTCATAAACTAACAAAATTGTATCTTGATCTAGTTTTGTGTGCTATCTCTGCTATTATGATTGAAGTTGTGTTTGTTTTTAAAAAATCATATCTGTTTT